CCCCAACCCCTCCTCCGCTGTCCCCCACAGTGCCAGCACATTGGGGGCATCTGTGAGAGCATCCTGGGCTGCAGCCCCCCCACGCTGCTGGACTGCAGGGCTGTGCTGGAGCGTGTGAGGCTGGAGCTGCCCCCCGGCCCACGGGGCAGCCCCCCCACCACCCCCCACACCCCGCCGGCTGCCTCATGGCCTGTGGGAGAGCCCCCCAACATCTCCTGATACACCAACGATGCCAGCCAGCCCATGGGGGAACACCTCCAGGTCCCCTGACACCCCACCACTGCCTCCTGAGCCCCCAGGAAGCCCCTTCCTCCTCCCCACCACCCCACTGGTGAGTCCCCAGTGCCCCTCCCCATGCCCCAGGACCTCACAGCACACCCTGCACCCCACTCATGCCTCCCTACCAACCCCCCCAGGGCCTCGAGATCACCTCTACCAGCTCCTGCCTACACTTTGTGTCTGCAGCCACCTCGGAGGTGAGTGAGGTACTACTGCCCTGCAAATCTGTCACCCCCCAGTGCCACCCTCTGCCCAGTCACCCCTTTTTAGTGCCTACTGTGGGGAATACTGCTCATCCTTGCTGCAACCCACCCAGATGGATCCTGTCATCCTATTGGGGCCCTAATTTGCCCCATGTCCCAGCCCAGAGCTGGGGGTGGCAGCCTGCAGCTGAGACCCTGCAACTCATCTCATGAGTGAGCACAGCCCGGGTCGTGCTGGGAGCCCCTCTCCACACCCCGAGCCCCCCAGGGCTGGTGCTGTGCAAGATCAGGCTGCTGGTTAATGGTTAACCCCTGGGGGAGGGCTCCTGGGGGTGGGTTAGCCGAGCAGAGTGGGTGGGGGGTTGAGCACCAGGGCCTGAGCACCCTGCTCACCCACCCTGCTCACCCACCCTGCTCCCACCCCTCTGCCCCAGGCCCTGGCTGCCCACGGGGGTCGCATCCTGCCCGGGGATGAGATCGTGCAGGTCAATGAGCAGGTCGTGGTGAGTCGGGGGGGGGGG